TCATTTAGTTAACAAGTGAAATAATAGGGAAGCGTGCAGAGTGAATGCCGAGAGAAAAGGCACAAAACCCTATTGAGAGCTCTCAGCCGCTACCGTCACATGGGCGAACTGGCTCTCCAACTATTTAAGCAGGAACACCTTCTCTCCAGCACCATTCTGCCATCCAGCCTTGGGTACAGATCCTGGTACGAGACTGAGATAGAGACACTTTTGCGACGTTAGGTGAAGAAACACTGGGCTGCCAAGATGCCGAGATCGTTTCTTGTGGACTCCTTGATTTTGAGGGAGAGCAGCGACAAAGGAACCGAGAACAGGCCGCCGTGGTTTCCTTACGCAGTGCACCCGTCGCATGCTCTCCACGGCCTCTCCGCCGGCTCCTGCCACTCGCGAAAAGCGGGCTTGCTGTGCTTCTGCCCGCTGTGCGTCGCGTCTCAGCTGCACCCGTCGCCTCCAGCGCTGCCGCTCATCAAGGCTTCCTTTCCTGCCTTCGGCTCCCAGTACTGTCACGCGGCGCTCTCCAGACAGCACTCCACTTCTAGCGGTGTGAACCTCAACAGCGGCTCGGGCTTATACCAAGCCACATATCCAGTTCCAGATCCACGACAGTTCCACTGCATATCCATAGGTAAGCAGGTCGAAAAAGCCTACTTTTCTAACTCAACTTCTGCTTTAACGTTGCCAACTGAACTTATTTGTGTCTTTTCAACAGAGAACAGCAGCAGTCAACTTCAGAGCAGCAAGCGCATGCGCACTGCGTTCACCAGCACGCAACTCCTGGAGCTGGAAAGGGAGTTCACCTCCAACATGTACCTTTCGAGACTCCGGCGCATAGAGATCGCGACTTACCTCAATCTGTCCGAGAAGCAAGTCAAGATCTGGTTCCAGAACCGCCGCGTAAAGCACAAAAAAGAAGGCAAAAGCGGCTCCCACAGGACGGGCTCGCACAACTGCAAGTGCTCGTCGTCCCTGTCCTCCACCCGGTGCTCCGAGGAAGAAGATGACCTTCCCATGTCACCCCCGACATCAGAAAAAGAGGACGCAGATCTGTCCGTTAGCCCGTGAGCTCCAGCGCATTGCTCATGACCTCCACCTCAAAAGACTCTGTAGGCCACACACATGTGGAACCGTGAATGCAGCCAAAAGCCACGGCATCTGCGTGCGCCGTCACCTGTAAATAGCGAGAGAGAGAGAAAGAGAGAAAACACTTTATATATGATCGGGGTCTGCGTATCCCTTTAATGTTGTATATTTGTATACGTGTTCTATGTTTGTAGTTTTTTATTCTTCTGAAAACAACTTAAGCCCATAGTTCCGCATCCAAATGCATTTCCCGTCACCAAAAGTTTTTAAAATCTGTGTTATCAACACGGTCCAAAATTAATTTGTACTTTGATTTTAATCTTTTTTTTTAAGAGATTGAGTTGTTTTGTTTGTGTGGATGGTGAGCATACAGGGTAGCTTTAAGCACATTTTGGGGACGGAATGGAAATATGGGATGCGTTCTATGTATACTTCACTTCAATGACAGAGTTGGTTATTGTACTTTTATTGTAATGAGAATATTTATTTATTTAAAAAACCTTAATTCTGAAAATAAAGAATATTTCTTAGTGACAAAACACGATGTCTCGTTTCATTGCAACCCAAACCCTCGAGCTGGCTGAACCTGTCATACTGAATTTATAATGTAGACGCAACGAGAGCCACACATGACTTTCTTTCTTTCTAATAGAACTGAGTCTTCTAATGTTATAAGGCTTATTAGTGTCCTGTACATGCAGCGCATTCTTATAGTTCTGAATCGAAACAGCTTTCTGAAATATTCTGCTTAAAATTCTTATATATTCAGACTTTCTCTGACATGCATTTGGAAAAGCGCGTATAGAGGATGAACATTCTGACCATCTTCGTGCAATTCTGAACGCAATTATTTCCCTCAAAAAAA